ACAGGAAGAGCCCTAGTTCTTGCTGGCCAGCTAGTCTAGCAGACTTGGTGAGCTCCAAGTTCAGTGTAAGAAATTGTCTTAAAAAATAAACCACCCTGGTCTACATCGAGACTTCCAGGCAGGCTGTGACTAGGGAGACCTTATTAAAAGAAATCAACAAAAAACCCAAGATAATAATAATAATTTTTAAAAAATAAGGACAAGGGGCTGGAGAGATGGCTCAGCAGTTAAGAGCACTGGTTGCTCTTACAAGACTGGGTTTGATTTCCAGCACTCATATGGTGGCTAACAAGTATCTGTAACTCCAGTTCTAGGGGATCCAATGCCCTCTCCTGGCCTCTGCAGGCATTTCAGGACACAGGTGCACTTACATGCAGGCAATACACTCATGCACATAAATTAATAAATAAAAATATAAAAAGATGGAGATTGAGGAAAAACAGTCTCCACACATATGCACACAAACAAACAGGTATACACACACACGCACACACAATATTTTTTTTTCTATTTCTGTGAATAATACTGCAATTTTGATTAAGATTTTTATTGAACCTAATGAGGTCCCACTTGTTGATTGCTGATCTTAATTCCTGAGCAACTGATGTCTGATTTAGAAAGTCCTTTCCTAACCTCTATCTTGTAGGTTACTGCTGATGTTGTCTTCTGACAGTTTCAGAGTTTCAGGTTTCTATTGAGGTGTTTGATCCATTTGGAGTTGATTTTTGTGCAATGTGACAGATAAGGGTCTAGTTTCAGTCTTCTACAGGTGGAGATCCAATTTTGCCAGCACCACTTGTCTTTCCTCCAGTGTGTGTTCTTGGTACCTCTGTCATCAGGTGGCTGAAATTGTGTGTACTCATGTTTGGGTCCTCAATTATGTTCCATTTATCTATGTGTCTATTTTTGTGCCAGTACCATGCTGGTTTTGTTTGTTTGTTTGTTTTGTCCTTTTGAGACAGGGTCTCCCTGTAAACCCAGCTGGCCTGGAATTCACTATGTAGACCAGGCTGGCCTTGAACTCATGGAGATCTGCCTGTCTCTGCCTCCCAAGTGCTGGGATTAATTGCATGCACCACCATGCCTGGCAGTACCATGCTGTTTTAATGACTAAAGCTCTATAATATAGTTTGAGATCTGGTATAGTAGTTCTCCCAGCATTGCTCTTTGTGGTCAGGGTTGCTTTGGCTATCCGGGTCTTTTGTTCTTCTGTATGAATTTTAGACATTTTATAATTTTGTGAAGAATGTTATGGGGATTTTCATTGGGATTCCATTGACTCTATATATTGCTTTTGGTAGGATAGTCATATTCACAATATTACTTCTTACAATCCATGAGCATGGGAGGTCCTTCCATTTCCTGGTGTTTCCCTCAATCTTTTTCATTAACGATTTCAAATTTTCATTGTAGAGAGCTTTAATGTCTTTGGTCAGATTTAGTCTGATTTTTTTTTTGAGGCTCTAAGAATGAAAGGGTTTCCTGTACTCTTTCTCTAGTTGTTTTTTATTGGAATATAGAAAATCTACTGATTTTTGTAGATTAATTTTGTAATGTCACTTTACTGAAAGTGTTAATCATTTCATTTCTAGGAGTTTTCTGGTGGAATTTTTGGGATCTCTTAGGTATAGTATCATATCATCTGTGAAAAGGGATAATTTGACCTCTTTTCCAATTAGTACTGCTTTAATTTCCTTCTCCTGTCTTATTGCTCTAGCAAGAGTTTCAAGCACTATGATGAAAAAGAGTGGAGATAGTGGACAGCTTTGCCTGGTTCCTGATTTTAATGGGAATGCTTTCAGTTTTTCTCCATTTAGAATGATGTTGGCTGTGGGTTTGTTGTATACAGCTTTAACTGTATTAAGGTATGTTCCCTCCAGTCCTATTCCCTCTAGGACTTTGAACATAAATGCATGTTAAATTTTGTCAAAGGCCTTTGAGATGATGATGTGGTTTCTGACTTTTAAGACCATTTATATGATTTATGACATTTATTGACATGCATATTGAACCATTCCTGCATCTCTGGAATAAAGCTGACTTGATTACAGTGGATGATCTTTTTGATGTGTGTCTGTATGCAGTTTGCAAGTATTTTGTTGAGAATTTTTGTGTCTATGTTAATTAGGGATAGGGTTCTATAGTTTTCTTTTTTGGTTGTGTCTTTATCTGGTTTTGGTATTAGAATGATGCTGGTTTCATAGAAGGAATTTGGGCGTTCTCCCTCTGTTTCTATGTTTTCGAATAATTTAAGAAGTATTGGTTGTACATTTTCTTAAATATCTGGTAGAATTCTTCTGTGAATCCATCTGGGCCTGGGCTTTCTTTAGTCAGGAGGTTGTATATTATTGTTTCACTTTCTTTATAGGTTATGGTTCTGTTTAAGCTGTTGCTCTCTTCTTTGTTTAGGCTTGGTGACTCCCATGATTTTAGATATACATTCATTTCTTAAGTTTTCAAATTTAATAGAGTATAGGTTTTTAAAGTGTTCTCTTAGTGGGAATACTTTGAGGCTATTTTCCCCATTTAGAATGATGTTAGCTATAGGTTTGTCATATATACTCTTTATTATGTTGAGATGTGTTCCCTCCATTCCTAGTCTCTTCAGGCCTTTAATCATGAAGACATGTTAGATTATGTCAAAGATCTTTTCTGATATATTGAATGATCATGTGATTTCTGATCTTGAGTGCATTTATGTGATGTATTACATTTGTTACTTGCATATGTTGGACCATCTCTGCATCTCTAAAATGAAGCCTACTTGATCTTGGTGACATTATTATTATTATTATTATTATTATTATTATTATTACTATTTGTCTTTTTGAAACAGGGTCTCCCTGTAGCCCCAGCTGACCTGGAACTCACTAGGCTGGCCTTGAACTCATGGATCTGCCTCTCTCTGCCTCTCAAGTGCTAGGACCAAAGGTGTGTACCATGTACCACCACACCTAGTTCATGAATGATCTTTTTTATGTGTTCCTAAATTCAGTTTTTAAGTATTTTATTGAGAATTTTTGTGTCTATGTTCATCAGGGGATTGGTCTGTGGTTTTCTTTTGTTGTTGTTGTATCTTTATTTGATTTCAGTATCAAGGTAATACTGACTTCATTTAAAAAAAAGTTTGGAAGTGTTCCTTCCTGTTCTGTTTTATGGAATGATTTGAGAAGGATTGGTATTGGTTCTTTTTTTTTAAGGTTGTGTAGAATTCCAAAGCAAATTCATCTGGCTCTGAACATTTTTAGTTGGGAGATTTTTAAAAAATGATTGCTTCTATCTCATTTCTTGATAAAGATCTGTTTCAACTGTTGATTGCACCTTGGTTTAACTTCAGTAGAAATTCTTCCATGTTTTTTAGATTTTCCAGTTTAGTGAAATATGTTTTAATTCATTGGTTTCTATTGTAATGCCCTCCTTTCCATCTCTAATTTTGTTAATTTGTGTCTTTTCTCTCTTTTCATTAATTTGGCTAAGGGTTTGCTGATCTTGCCTGTATTTTCAAAGAACCAACTCTTCATTTTGTGATTTTTTTTGTATTTTTTCCTATTTCAGTAATTTCTGCTCTTATTTAATTATTTTTGTGTACTACTTTTGAGTTTTTCTTATTCTTGCTTTTTCCAAGTTACTAAAATGCACTGTCATTTATTGACACCTCTCTGATTCTTTAATTTAGGCACTTAGAGCAATGTACTTCCCTCTTGGGGCTGCTTTCATTTCATCTCATAGGTTTTGATGTTTTGTTGTCATTTTCATTTGTTCTAGGATTAAAAAGAATTCCTTCTTCCCTTCACTGATCCAGCACTATGCAATAATGTGTTGATTGCTTTTCTTCCTCTTCTACTGGCCCCTCCTTACCTTAAAACCTCTCAACATTCAAGTCATTTTAATTTCAATATTTGGGAGAAAACACACAATATTTGCCTTTTTGTGTATGGCTTATTCATATAATATGATGTCCTCCATGTCCATATACTTTCCTGAAAATAACATAATTTCTTTTTATGTCTGAACTGTAATCCACTGTATGTATATATATATTTTTTCTTACACACACCCCACACACAGTCCCCCCCACTATATTATCTGTTTGTCTTTGATAGGCACCTAAGCCAATTTCATATGTTGGCTATTGTGAATACTGCTCTAATAAACATGGGTATTCTACCATATTTTTTGACATATCTTTTTACAAGTATTTAGTACTGCACGCCTTTAGTCCTGGCATTTGGGAGGCAGAGACAGGTAGATCTCTGCGAGTTCAAGGCCAGCCTGGTCTACATAGTGAGTTCCAGGCTGGCTGGGGCTACAGGAAGACCCTGTCTCATAAAAGACCAAAAAAATAAAAAACAAAAAAAGAAGAAGGAAACAGTTAAGAAGGAAGATGACATAAAATCTTCTTTCACTCCTTGAGGGAAGTAAGTTACAGAAGATTCTTAGTAAGAAGTAGGCTGAGATATAAGCGGACATTTCTTTTTGGTATAGCCAAAATGTATGATTTTCTGGAGTTCTACAGTACAAAACGTCTTGTTTTTGTGGAATTCACACTGTTGATAAAGGAACCTGCTTTCCTGGGTTTGCTCTGTCAGACTATGAGATCTCTTACTTTCCAAACTTCATGCTTTTTTTCCAATTCACTGTACCTCTTGGATTTATTTTTTTAAAAGAAAAAGGCATTTTCTGTCACCACTACAGAAAGTTGTAGAGAAAAGCATATGCTGACTTTCATCACCAACCAAAGGCTCTACTTAGAAGTATAATAGAGACAACTGAACTGAGGAGAAGATTCAAGTAGGGATTTGGCCTACTTAACATCTGTTATGCACTGAAGCATAAGAGAAGTATAGTAAGTAAGATGCAACACACAGAAACACACCAAGAGAGAACATATTTCTAAGAACAAATACACCTTCGCTATGTGCAAAGTGTTCAATGCAAGATTTGTGGACAAAGCAACAGCTCTACAGTAGAGCAAATTAAGGTGGAAATTACATCCTCACCGAAATAGTCGGATCCTCTGATCAGTTCAGGTGACGAGAAGCTACTTAAATTCTCTTCAATACTCTTGTACTCTCTATAAGACTCTGTGTCTGAACAGTTCAGGACACAACTGGAGACATCTTGCTGCAAACTTAGTCCTGTAAAATACGACAAAACAAAAGGATGAACTGAATAGAAAACAGAAATCCCAGCAATTCACATTCGTAGACATGTACATGTAGTTGGACACTAAGAATACAATACTGATGTCACACACAACTAAAAAAGCCTAACAGTATCAATCATTTTAATTTGAATCTAAAAATAAATATTTTGATGTTGATAAATGTATTATAATCCTCTTTAACTGTTTTTCAAAGTTTCCATTTTATGGGCTTAATCCTTACTCATTTTTGTTTTAATTCTTGGCTCAAAACTTCAAGCTTGACATACAAGCAATTCACTAGCTAAGAAGAAGAAAGGATGAATCCAGTTATTCCATGCGGGGGCATGAGACCCTATACAAAGAGAAGAAAGGAGCTGAACAGAAATTCCAGAAACGGACTCACACATATACACAGAACTGATTTTTGATAAATATGTAAAAGCAATTTAACAGAGAAAGAACTGTCTTTTAAACACACTGTGCTAGGATAATTGCATATTCATATGTAAAAACAAAATGAGGATTTGGGGTGTGGCTTAGTGAGAGCACTAGCCTAGCCTGTGTGAAGCCTAGTGTTCAATCCGTAGCACAGCAAAACAACCCTTTCACCCCAAGAAACAGAACCCAAAACAAAATAAAGGACTTATGTTTATATTTTTTATACTATAAGAAACTAACTCTAAGGGAGCCATGGTATAGCCCTCCATAGCAGGGCTATAATCCTGACTATTCAGGAGACTGAGATGTAAGGATCTTAGTGAGATTTTGTCTCAAAATAAAAAGCATAAAAGAGATCCAGGAAAAAAATTCCCCAAAATAACATAAATGTTAGAGCTACATACTGTGTAGCTGTGTACCTGAGAATGAGGCAAAGAAGAAAGGTCAGTCCTTAGAGAAACTCAAACTGCTCTGCCAGAACAATAGAAAATTCAGCACTCTTATATTTCTCCTCCTCCCCTTCCCTTCCAGTGATTTCCCTGAGACCCATGTGAACACAAGACGGGAGATGATCTGGATACAACTCAGAGACACAAGTATACTTAAGCAAAGACTGCAGGCCACTGGTGGAAAAGCAGCTAGAGCCCTGGAAAGAGACCATCCAGCTGCAAAAGTTAATACGAGCACATGTAATCTGTAACATTTATTGCCTTATGGCCCGTAGAGTTGGGACATTGAAATACGCGGGTGGAAAGCACAGCCACGTGGCATTCTGAAGATGAAAGCTGGCAGGGAGGACCATGAGCAGGAGGGAACAGCTACAGGGGACTCAACTCAGTAAGACAGACACACTGAAGGCACACTGTATTCAGCCCATTCTGTCACCACCAGAAAAACAAGCAGCTGTTTTCCCAGGTTCAGAATTAGCTGTGAAGGTAACTCAGGAGGCATGGGAGTCCTCATTCACCAAGCAAAGACAAAATGCTGATTTCTTAATTTTATCTTATTTTTAGTATTTTATGTTCAGTTTTCTCAAGCTTGCACAGGTTTTCTGAGTGTCCTACTCTTTTCTGACCTGTTCAGTTCCTTTCTGCTGTTTCCATTCTCTGAAATCCATATGCTTTCTTCTCATTCCTACTTTACTTCTCACCCCCCTCACTTCCTCCTTTTAGTTCTTAATAATTAATACACTTAGCTGTACTAATCTTTAAACCCTTGCTTATTCTACCAGTACCCTAGCTCCTTTGCTCCCTAGTACTAGTAAGAATGTAGGTAAGGTACCAAGTACTTTTTACTGTATTTTAGCATCTTGCTTGTTGTCAGTCATTCTTTTTGTTACTGTTCACTGCTTCTCCCTCTCAATCAATGTTAGTGGGGATTATATGCCAAGATGGGATTATCCACTGAGAAGACCTATATAGAACCAAAGAAACAGTAGGGAAAAGGAGCTGAAAGACTCTTCCATTGCATCAGATGCACAAATCACCAACACAGAAACACATCCACAATTTAACAAAAAGGCTAATACAACACCTTCAAGAGCTCAGAACTCCTCAATAACTGAAAACAAAGATAGTGTAATAAGTGAAATTCAAAAGCCCACTTTTAAAAAAGGTTTAACAACTTCAAAGAGGATTAGAGGATTCAAACAAGCAGATGAAGGAAGGAAATCAAATAAGGCCTAGGTAAGAAAGCTAAATACATGGAAGAGAAATTCAGCAAAGAAATGGAGAGTCTGAAGAAAAAAAATTGGAAACATTGGAAATTAAAGAGTTAATCAATTAGGGGCTGGAGAGATGGCTCAGCCGTTAAGAACACTAGTTGTTCTTGCAGAAGACCTGGGTTCGAATCCCAGCACCCACATGGCAGCTAACAACTGTCTGTAATTCCAGTTCCAGGGAATCTGACAGCCTCTTCTGCCCTCTGCGGGCATTGCATGACACAAGTGCACTTACCTACATGCAGGCAATACATGAATACACATAAAATAAAAATAAATAAAAAAAAATTTTTTTTGGTGTTTTTTGAGACAGGGTCTCCTTGTAGTCCCAGCTGTCCTGGAACTCACTATGTAGACCAGGCTGGCCTTGAACTCACAGAGATCTACCTGCCTCTGCCTCCCAAGTGCTGGGATTAAAGGCGTGTGCCACCATGCCCGGCCCATAAAAATTTTTTTTAAAAAGAATTAATTAAATTAGGAACATAACCAATAAACTAGATCAAGCATAAGAAAGGATATTAGTGATAGAAGACTAAGTTGAGGAAATATACTCAGCTATAAAAAATAATCAAGCATGTCTACAAGGCCCCAAACTCTGGGACACAATTAAAACACCAAACCTAAGAACCCATGGGGTAGAAGGAACAAGCTGAGATAAGGGCTAAAAGCACAGAAAAACAACTGAAATTAGAGCATGTTTTTTTCAAATCCAGGGAATGGTACTGACATATAAGAGGCATTTTAGAACCCAAATGAACATGACCAGAAAAGGTCCTCTCGTAAGTCCTATTATAACTAAAATGTTAAAGCTACAGAAGAAAAGCTTCGAGAGAGAATTCCTATTTACTTACATAGGCAAACCCATCAGAACAGCGTCAGCCTTTCAGCAGAAACTCTAAAATCTAAGGATGTATAGAAGGGTGTATTTCAAGGCCAGTTGGGGCTATAGGAGACCCTGTCCGTCTCAAAAGAAGAAAAAAAAAGGAGACAAAAGGACTTTCCAAGATAAGCACAAGCTAAAGAAACTCATGATCTCTATATATGCTACTTTGTCAACAATTTGTTCATGTCCAATGTGTCTTAATTTTTCCTATTACTAGTTTCCTATTTCATGTTTTTAAAAGCTGCTTTCTGAGCCGGGCGTGGTGGCGTATGCCTTTAATCCCAGCACTTGGGAGGCAGAGACAGGAGGATCTTTGTGAGTTCGAGGCCAGCCTGGTCTACATAGTGAGTTCCAGGACAGCTGGGGCTACAAGGAGACCCTGTCTCAAAAAAGACAAAAAAAAAAAGGCTGCTTTCCATTCCATTTTATAATATAATTAATCATTTATAAACAAATTAATCAACTCTCTATCTTTGAATGTTTAAATTGTTTGTATTCTCCCATGGTAAACAATTCTTGGATAAACAAAACAAAAACAAACAAAAAAGAAACTCATGATCAGTAAGCCAGAATTATAGTTGATACTTATTAAAAGAATTCTACCTAAGTAGAAGGAATATAGACAGCACAAGAGCATGGGAAAGCCCAAACCTCGAGAGGAACAGATAATAAAAGAGAACTAGGAATGAATTAAACATGCCAACTCAGTAAATCAGCAAATCCTTAAGGTGAATAAGGGAGGTAAAAAAGAACAAGCAGTATTTGACTAGCCAGGGCCACCCCTCAAAAATTATAAGAATCAGTAAATATCTTAATAACCCTCAATGTTAATGGTTTCAACTCTTTAATTAAAAGACATAGACTAGCTCAAAACTTTAATAGATCCAACTCTTGCTGAGCATGGTGGCACATACCTATAGTCCCAGCACTTGGGAGGCAGAGGCAGGCAGGTCTCTGTGAGTTCAAGGCCAGCTTGGTCTACATAGCAAATCCAGGCCAGTTGTGGCTACAGGGAGACCCTGTCTCAAAAAGACAAAAAAAAAAAAAAAAAAAAAAAAAAAGGAAATTGTTCTTGGGGCCAGGGAGATGGCTCAGTTGGTAAAGTTGGCATAAGGACTTGAGTTCTGATCCCAAGACTACACATGAAAAGCCAGGTATGGCAACAGGTCTGTAATATCAGTGCTAGGGGGAGGAGTGGTGGGCAATGAAGAGAGGCAGACTCCTGAAGCTTATTGGCCGGGGGCCTAGTCATATTGTTCAGCTTCAGGTTCAGAGAGAGACTGCTCAAAAACTAAGGATGGAGAGTGACTGAGGAGACACCTAATGTTGACCTCTGACCTCCACATGCACATACCCACACTAACAAGTACACTACATAAAAACACACACAAAATACTTAACATTTTATTATTTTTTTATGTGTAATAGTATATCACCTTCATGTATGTAAGAGAACCCATGTCATGCAATGCCCATGGAGGTCAGAAGAGGGTGTTGGATCCCTTGGACAGTTGTTAGCTGTGCCATGTGGGTGCTGGGAACTAAACCTGGGTCCTCTGCAGGAGCCAGTGCTCTTAACCACTGAGCCCCTCTCCAACACCATACAAAATAAAGTTCTTTGAATGCTTCTTTATGTGCTAGCCTGCACTCATTGTACAGAAACAGCTTTTGCTCATTTCAGGTATATTAAATTATGCCTTTAAAAAGTCTTTTTAGGGCTGGAGAGATGGCTCAGGGGTTAAGAACACTGACTGTTCTTGCAGAAGACCCAGGTTCAAATCCCAGCACCCACATGGCAGCTAACAACTGTCTGTAACTCCAGTTCCAGGGGATCCGACAGCCTCTTCTGTCCTCTGCGGGCTTGCATGAGGGTGCACTTACCTACATACGGGCATAACACTCAGACACATAAAATAAAAATACTAAAAAAAAAAAAGTCTTTTTCATTTTA